GTGTCATGACAGTCTTACAACAGTCTACAGAGTCACATTGTGAACAATTCTTCAGAGCCCCAGAAGAAAGGAGAGAATGGGGAAGGTGTTTCTAATGCTGACTCGGAAATCCAAGAGACAGGAAATGAGGGTTAATTAAAATGCACAACAACCCATCCTCAGCTTGCTCTTCAGCTCAGTAAGGGAGTCTCATGCTTGTCCATGGTGTTCTTCCTGCGGAGAATGAGTTCTTTAACCAGCCAACTTTTGATAAATACACTTCCCCCACCTTTCAGCTTCATCATTTTTCCCAGAAGGAAGTATTGGAGTGTTTTGGAGTGCAGACTGGAGTTAACTGCCCAGGGTTCTAATTTTGGCTCTACTGACTTCAGTCTACATGGCCTTGGCCTTGTTGGCACAAAAATGCAGCTCTTATCTCGAATGAAATAGGAGGTAGTTTCTTCTGGAGCTGAAAATGACTGGCTGTGGCCTGAAGGTTCACATTTAGTGTACTCAAAATACCATGGTCTCATGTAAGTTTTGTGAAGGTTTTATAAATCAAGATATATTTCAGATTTATTGGTGGGACCATTAGGTGGGTTATGCCAAAGACTGCTAAGATTCAGATAGTCCAATGACATCCTTAGCCTTTGGTTTAGTGGAAGCTGATAATATGTACATTCATAAATAGTTTTCTAATAGTCAGAAGGTTGGCTGTTAGCTCACACACAGAAGTGGACTATGAATGGCTATGACAGGAGCTGAGACCCAGCCCAAGATAGTTTGACTTTGACCTATGTAATAGTAGGTGTTTCGACAATCTCTGAGGTTCTCTTATCAGCTAGTCTGCCTTGCAGAGTATTAAACACAGATGTGGCTTTTAATTTGGGGAGCATCAGTTCACAGCCTTGTATCTATGCAAAGGATTGACCTTCGTAGTGTCAACATGATAGTCTTGTGATTATCCAGCATGTTGACGTATAGATAAAGGACTCAGAATAACATCTGGCCCCAGATAAACAGAATGGAAATGTCAGGGTCATGGCTAAGCTCTAAACGATAAAAGTTTTGCTGATTTCATAAACTTCTGCCTTGTTATGGAACTCTTTCTCCAAGCACCATTCTCAGACATCCTAGGCTGCAGGGGATGAAGGTTGGACCTACTAACATTGCTCAAGGGGCAGTGTGCATTCCCTGCCCCTCACTGAGAATACTTAAGGGCCTAGGGATGCCCTTGAGGAGGAGGCGACCCTTGCTCGGTGTAACCTCCCTGGAGTTGCCCACACCACTGGCAGTTCAACTCGACTTCAATGAAATAAGCGCTTTGCTCTTATCTTGGTGTCTTATCTGGACTGAACAAAGTTTGTTTACAAGACAAAGCCTTTATAATGTTGAGGCACCACCTACCCTGAGAGAAGTTAAAGTATTTTTTGCTTTGTGTGTGTGTGTGTGTGTGTGCATATGTGTGTGTGCTCTGTGTGTGTGCATATGTGTGTGTGCTCTGCGTGTGTGCATGTGTGTGCGTGCGTGTGTGCACATGCGTGTATGTGTGCAAGTATGTGTGTGGTGTTATTTCCTTATGGGGCAATGTGAGTCCCAGTGGTGAAGCCATGCCCTTATAGCTTTTTCCTTTTCAGTGAACATTCAGTGCGAGGCCAGGCCCTGGAAGCTGCATCTTAATAAAGCTGCTTGGGGAGGGGGGTGCAGTGTGGTTAGTTGGCAGTATTTTAAGGAAGCACTGCCCAAGGTCCCCTCAGTGGATGACTCTGATTTTAAAGTATGAAGCCTTAGGGAAATCGGCCAGATTCAGGGTCTTTGAAAAGTAAAGCATGAGTTTTCTATAACACCATCAGCCGGTCCAGAAGAGACACAGGCTGCAAGCTTTCAGAGTTTGCACTGGTGATTCTGCTGAGCTGCAGTCCCCTCCTAGCTGCCTTCCGCAGAGTGCTTGTTTGGGCTTCTCATCCTGATTCTGGGGAGGTCCAGGAGCTGCATTTCTAACCCTCTGCCCTGTAAGGCTGCTTCAAGGTCCCACAGCAAAGGGAGAGTGTGAAGGTTTGAGACTTCCTGTTGTGCTGCAGGATGGAAGCTGGTGGTGTGGCAGAAAGTGACATGCGTCGTGATTCCCCCTTGTCAATTCCTGTCACTTTTAACACGTAGCGTCCATAGGGGAGTGTGTTCACAGGAACAATGCCTGGCCAGAGGAGTCTCTGCTGGCTGACTGTTGCCCTCTTCTGGACAGTCCAGAACCAGTGTAAGGAAGGAAAGGGGTCCACTGCTTTCATTAAAGACCCAGTGGTGTCCAGAGACAGCATGTTAAGAATAGCCTGAAATCAAAGACACAGCCTGTTCGACCAAGGGCAAAGATGGCAGAGCACAGGGGCATAGAACCCGGGCCACCCAGATAAAGGCGGAAGGCAGAGCTGGAGGAATTGCCGAAAGATTGTGTCAATTGCTATATGACATTTACATGGTCAGATTTTATGCACGCTCATCCCCTTGCTCGTCACCAGACCTGCCGTACACAGGGTCTTTCTTAACCTGACTAGGCAATATTTTCTGAGATGTGGCCCTAAGCACAAGGAACTAAGGGAAAAAGAAGTAAAGTGGGCTTCATGAGAGTGAAAATGCTGTGGCTCGAAGACCACGATTAAGGAAAAAGGGCAGCCCCCGCATGCTCTCCATCTTCCTACCTGTTGTAGGAGGCTGCTTGTCCGTTTCCCAGCTGCCCAGACTCCCGAAATAACCACACAGAAACCATATAATTTAAATCACTGCTTGGTCCATTAGCTCTAGCTTCTTACTGGCTAACTCTTACATCTTAATTTAACCCATCTCCATTAATCTGTGCATCACCATGAGGTTGTGCCCCACCAGCAAAGTTTTACCACATCTGTTTCCGGTGGCTTCTCTCTGACTCCACCTTCTTTTTCCCAGCATTCAGCTTAGTTCCCCCCCCCACCATCTAGCTCTGTTCTTCCCTGCTCTGCTATAGGCTCAAAGCAGTTTCTTTATTTATCAATGGCAATCACAGCATACAGAGGGGAATCCCACATCATCTCACTCTGTGACCTTTTAACACAGTTCCTCATGTTGTGGGGACCCCCATCATACAATTACTTCATTGTTACTTCATAACTGTACTTTCGCTACTGTTATGAATTGTAATGTAAATATACTTGGAGATAGAGTTTACCAAAGGGGTCATGACCCATAGGTTGAGAACCACCAGCCTACAAGGAGGCCGTATTTGCCCTGACTGCCCTTAGGGACGAAGAGGGAGTGGGGGGAGTGGGAGGGTGTTAGGAAGAGGGGCATAAATGGAAACTTTTATAATTTAATAAAATTACTTTTAAAAAAAGAAACTTGTGTCTTAATATACACATCATTAAGTCTTGAATCATGAAGAACTGCAGTTCAGCAATGAAAAGACAAACTGCCCAGCACAATTATGGGCAAGGAATACGGACTGATGTCCCTCAAGGTGGAGCAGCGAGAAGAGTGAACATGGAAACCGTCAGGATGCATGAGGAGATGCTCCACAGTACGGGAGAGCACAAATGAAGCCAACACCCAAACTGCCCCATATCCAACAGTATGTCTTCAGTAAGAAACACTAGCAAGAAGGGAGAGAGAGGCTGCTGACGACGGGCTTATGAATGCTGCTCTGGAAAACCCTTTGCCCATTTCTTCAAAATGTTTTGTGAAGATTTTTTTAAGAGCTAGCAATTCTATCCCTAGGTTGGAACTCACGATAAATGAAAATTGCCTCCACATAAAACCTCGTGATCAACTGTTTTCCCCAGCGCTGTGTTTGTAATAAGGACACCAAGATGGAAACAGCGCAGATGCCAGCAGAGGAGTGGTATGCTCACGTGACACGGGGCTATCCAGCTCTGTCGAAGTGGGGTACTGTGATAGTCTCGACATGAGTCAATCCTGAGAACTCTCTAAGGGAAAGAAAGCAGCCTCAAAACCACTAAGGCACGGTTCTGTTCCAGTAATCTCTAAAGAAGGAACCCTACAGAGCTGAAAGGTGGGTCGTTTTGTCCAGGGTCTGTGCAAGAAAAGGAACAGGGTGTGACTTTTAGTGGATACAAAGTTCCGTTTTGGAGTGAGGAAAATAGTCTAGAATTAGGTAATGGTGAGAGTTGTGTAATTCTATAAATTTGCTGTTAAACTGAATTTTTACGCATTTCATTCATTGTGTGTGAGGGGTGTGAAATCAAGCAGTGGAGCAGACAGACATATATGTCAAAATGCACATTTGAAGGTCAGAGGCCAGCTCGCAGGAGTTGGTTCTCCCCTGCCCACATGTGGGACCTGGTAACTGAGTTCAGGTTGTCAGGCCAGCATGCAAGAACCTCTGTGCACTGAGCCATTCTGCAAGCCCTGATCTGTAGTCTTGAAATGTAGCATATGTAGCTAAATCACAGTAAGACTATTAAAATAAAAAAATAATACTATGAAATAGATAACATGATAGTTTAATGACTGGCACACCTGTATTTATTGATGGCCACACCATGCTGATGACAAAGCCAATGCTCCAAAGGAGTTGTCAGCTCCAAAGCCTGGATTCTGACTACAGTGTGATGTTCCAAGGCTTTGCTTGCACAGAGAGGTAGCCAGAAGGGGCCTTAACGTGGGACCTATGTTCTTGAGCTGGGTGTGGAGCCTGAATTCTAAAATAAATCGTCCTGGCTCACCGTTTTATTGAGGAGTGGTCTGAGGATGTGGAAACGGCCTGATTGATGGTCAGAGCACAGAAAGTTCCGGTGCGTCACAGAGGACATGCTGGGATTGGTCCAGATGTCCTGACAGATATAGTTCAGGATCATCTGATGACCCTGTTGAAACAGCGGACACCTTGACTGCATTCCAGGTACACTGGTTCAGATACACAGCACTATGGGACTTTTGTCAGCAGGGTGAATGAGGCCAGAGATCCTGGTACTGAGCGATAGGTCTCTGGACACAGGGCCTTGCTGACTGAGCGGCTCCAGGGAGTGCTAGTCTCATCCTGGCCTTTGAACTCTCGGGGAATGGCAGGCTGATGTGTGCACGGTGTGGGGATCCCAGAGCAGAGCTCCAGAGGGACACATTGTAGGACACTATCTTACTGTGTTACCCAGGCTGTCCTGAAACCCACGATCCTCCTGTCTCAGCCTCCCGAGTACTGGGATTGCTGGTATGTACATCTGACTTAGTTCTTCTCCAAGTTAAGTCAGTTATGATAATATCAAGTTTTAAACAAACTCTAAATATTTACCCACTATTTGAATACTTCAGTGTGCCCGGCGCTAATGTGCCGTGACTCTAGACCTGCAGATAGAGATAAACTTGGACAGCTTTACATAAAGTGCAGATGGGGCTACTCCTAGTACGTGGCATTTCATAGACCTGTCATCGGCTTTGTGGTTCCTGCCGGTCACCCTTGTACCCGAAGCATCAAAACCACCCACGTCTCTCTTGAAGACTGTAAACCAAATCAATACATCATGGAGATTTCACTGATGTTCATTCTGTTGCCCGTTTTTCCACCCCCTTTCCCCTGTGTCCTACAAGACTAATTATTACAAAAGATTTTAGAGAAACTGGGGAGCAGGGTGGCAAGCTTAGGGCCTGTCTGACAAATTTACTGTCTCAAAATTAAAGGTCCCCGCCCCACCCCATCTAAATGTCGCTTCCTATTGCTTGTGTGAATTTGTATTCTATTTTCAGATGGCTTCCTCCCTGTAGATAGTACTGAGATTCTTTCGGGGTATCCATAAATAGGCAAACCTCATTTGCAGTTTCAGGACTTTGCCCGTGGTGTGACCCATCTGCCCGTTTTCATCTTTGCCCTTGTGATTGGAAAGCTTGACAAAAATGGGAATTGCACTTCCTTTAAGAAGCACAAACATGCAAATTGCTTTAAACCCGCTTCTCTTCATGTGCCCCAGGGGACCCTCTTTGTGCACAAGGCCTGTAGCATGTGGGATTTGATATTTGTGATGAGCCTGTTGGCCATGCCCGGGGTTAGGGGGACGAGGCAAGGGAAGTGGTCTCTAAGCTTGAAGGTTAATATTAGGGATTCAGCCATTCTGTTGTGTACTTCCAGCAATTCTAACCAGTATGGAACAGAAGTGTATAGTGAC